AGATGGCCTGGGCGATAGTCCAGCAACTAAAACATAATTAGAATTATCCCAGACACTTAAATCCCAATTATTTAATCTGTGGGGTGTCCAACACAACAAGTGTTTGGCATAACTCAACAAAACAGATATTACAGAGAAATAGAAGAAAAAAAATGTATGAAACAAAATGAACTAGGGGTTCTTTTTTGTCATTAGGCTGGGTTTTTTTTATTGTTAGGGACATAATAAAACAAATATAAAATTAGAACGTGTGAGTGTGTGAGAGTATGTGTGTGGGCCGGGACAATATTTTTAAAAATATGACTGAAACCAATACTCAAAATTGTTATTAACATCAGGTTTGTGGTGATAACATTGACATGCCTCTCCCTACCCTTTATTCCAACCTTCTCATCACTTTTCCACACAGTCGAAACACATCCACGGGCACATACAACAAAAAGCCAGGCAAGTTATTGCACTCTGCTTAATAAAAACACAGCGATTAAAGGCATGAACACTTTGTCACTGAGAGGCACAGAGGAAAGACGGCATGCCCTAGGTTCTACTCTTTTTCAACAAAGTTAAGTTATGCTCTTCTATAGTATAAGCAATAATATAAGTGATATTAATAAAGTAGCATATGATATTAATAAAGCTGATCAGAGACTAACGTCTGCAAACCCTACAGGAAAATAAGAGCTATAGAAGAGTTTAATTATGAATAGAACCTACCAGAACTTTTTAAACTGGGATACCATTAAATGGCACTCTAAAGGCAAAACACACACACTTTTTTTTTTAAAGGGTTTTTCAGGCAATTTTTAAATATAGAAATGACTGCTTATGGTTTTGGTTTCTTTAAATCACTATAAATTTAAAATCATTTCAAAAGTTATACTAACATTAAAGTGACAGTTAATAAATGTCATCATACTAAACCACAGAGTTTTTAAGAACTCCAACTGGGGCACCTACTAAATTACAGTTTTATTTTATGACTTTGTAACACCTGGGATTCTCATTAGGAATGCTGGATGAAAATTTGAGCTTTTAGGAAAAAAAAAAGAACAAGACCTTCAATTACTACAAATTTCACCAGATATAATTCAAATTCTTATTTGTCTTATAGCACTTTTTCTTTCTATTTAGTTTTCTTTGCACTAACAGATTATATTAGGTAACAATTGTTTAAGATGGTAATAAAATAGTTTAAATGGGAACTTTAAAATCCCATTCTTGAAATTCATTGATTAGAATTACATTTTTAACCACTTAATTAAATATTTCTTATTGTAATGATAATAGAGATTTTTAAATTAGAGCTATATCTTTCTTTTATGTGATAAGAATAATTGCGATGAATAAATCCTCTTTATGGGAATTCTATAGGGTCAAAAGAAAAGTGAGAATTCCAATAAAGTTTTAATATTCATGAATACCTGCACTGCTATTTATTTGGAGCTTCATGTGGAAATGCCTATTTCACACTACAATTTATATGACATCAGATTCTATTTTCCTCATTACAAGCATTTTGCATATGTTAATAAATGGACTGTCAAAAATAAACTGTTGTTTAAAATTTATATTTAAAATTGCTACAGTGCTTCCATTTTTGCCTTGCTCAAACACTTTAAAATCTATCTCATTAAATGAATACAAACAAATGTCTGGGAAGTCTGAAACTAAAAGTAATATTAAATAAAGAAAATTATCCTAAGAATTCCTGCCAATTGTTTTGGAACTTCAAAACCAAATAATTAAAAATAGATTGCTCATATTTTGAAACAAACATTTTCAATGGAACCAATTATTTAGAACATATTTTCAACAACTAATAATTGTCAGTTTTCTAACTGCTATATAGTGCCTTCAAAAATTGTTATTAAAACAACAGAAAATCTATTTTTTTAATGTATTTCCTATCTCTAATGCATTTCACTCAATAAACATTTTGTTGATTAAAGATAGGTACTAAGAATTTTTTTAAAGGTATGAACCATTTCAATCTGTGTTTACAAAGCCTTAAGAAGTCATTTTGCTTTTTGTCTACCTTTATATACACCCATAGAAATGTCGGTGCCAATTACACTAATATAGAACATATGATACACTTTTTAAAATCAGTTAACTACTCCATTGGTGTATATATATATATATATGTATATATATATATATATACATATATATATATATACATATATATATATATATACAGCAAACTAAAATAACTCCTTTTTGAAACCCTTATCTACCCTATGGATTACATAAATTTTGATAAAATAACTAAATATGTATTTACTCAGAAGGGCACAGCAGTGGGAGCCATTTACCTCCTGAAATATATTCACCAGAGAGATTATAAGAGTAAGAATCATTTTGAGTTTCTAAGTAACACTTTACATTTTTAGCTCTGATATTACTTTTATAATCACAATTCACTTTTACTGGAAAGAAAAATAAAAGGCAAATACTACAATCAATTTTTAATGATTAATAAGCAAGGCATGAAATTCAAACCTCAATTAATTCTGATGCTTTATAAAAACCATTGTGAACTATTTTAAGATTGCTTAAAATGATGTCATAATCTTTAAATAATTAGATACTCCTGCTAACTTAAATTGGAACTATTCATTAGTAAACTAGATGATATTAAATATCTGCTAATTTAAATTAAAAAATAATGTCTAAGTAGTTATCAATAATTTGTTCAGCAATTATTTTTGTAAATATGAACAGTATATTTTTCTTTTGAAAAAGAACATTAAATTTGACTCATAAAAGGGAGAATAGCTATAGTTAGCCAATATAATTACACACATTACATTCTATTTTTGCAGTCAAAGGTAGAAAGGTTTCTACAAATGAAAAAGAAACTAATTGCCCTTCAGGGAAATACAGTTAAAAAAGCACTCCAGACAACGAAGATTCAAGTGGTAAAGTCAATCAGCAAAAGTATGGTAGAAATAACTAAAGCATAGTTATTTTCTCAACCGGACCAATCAATGCTGAATAAAATATTTAATTAAAAAGTTTGGAAATGTTTGCTATAAACAGCTATATCATTTCATTCTGATTTTGCATGTAAATATACAAAAACACATAATGTAACCGGTAGCATTTTATAGAGCATAAAAACATAAATATGTTATAGTAAATAATGTTTTTCTAGGTGAAAAAAGTGAACGTTTTTTTCCTTATCAACTATATCTTACGTGGATTAGAATAAAGAGCCAACAGTATTTCCAGATGACAGTATTACAAAAAGAATATTTCAAATCAAAGCTAAATCTTTGTTGTAAATGCAGAAATGGTTCACTGTCTTCTCTGTCTTATATGAGGAAATGAAATCCTCTTACCTGTCACCCTGACACCCAAGAAGATCTTTGTCTACCTCAAAAGAGCTTAAAATGTCAAGACTTAGGTCTCCTTTTCATGGTTTATTAAGCAAAAAGCCAAAACTATTCATGCTCCCTTGTAGTTTCGACAATCTATGATTCAAATGGGGCAATAGCTCTCTTTTCTTGCTCAGTAATGTCCTGGTGAGGAAATGATTTTACTGTCCTTTTTCTGTGGGGTCCTGCAGATTTATCTAAAAGGAAATGAATTACAACAGGATGACAAGGCCACAGAATAAAGCCATTTAGTTTTACAAATCTATTATGTCCTCCAATCTATTTTATGGGCCTGGTTCTATTATAAGCCAAGAAACCCCTAAAACAAACTTTTTTTTCCCTTTTTTATCCTTCCAAGGAAACCATTTACAATTCTATGATTGTTTTTGAAGCAGTTTAGTCTTTTCTTCCCCCCTTACGTGTTTCTATCCCACTTTCTCAAACATACAAAACATTCAGAGACAAGAAACTGGACTTTTCAAATCCAAACTGCTGACAACTGTCAGAAGCACTTTACTGGGACATTACTGACTGTAGCTTCAATGAATTAAGCTTGATTCACTGCGGGTGAATCATTTTCAATGCAGAGCTGTTCAGCAGTAATTGGCCAAGAATCCCTGCTGTGAAAAGCACTTGTCAAATAATGCTTGTTTACAAATATATCTCCAGACAGCAAAAAGTGGCAGTTACTGAATAAGTTCAGGGCCATCTCCAAAATTCATAACAGTGGACATGAACCCTTTACTTACTAAATGTACTTAAACTTCCACTTGTAGATACACTTGCTAATATTTGTCCTGCTTGATCAGAGAGAAGTCTGTTCCTAAATATGACTCTGAAATATTTTATAACAAAAAAGTTTTGAATATTACATTGTAGTTCAAAGATTTCTTCCCCATGTAGTTTATGATTAATATGATAAAACTACTAAGGATATATTTATCTTATAAAGTGCTTAGAATTCAGACTAAAGGGTAAATTTTCCTCTTGTCTGCTATCCAACATACACTAACAAGCCAAATAAATGCATTTCATATCAGTCCAAATTTCCAGATACATGTTTGGCTTCTTCTGTTCAATTCTGCTTGTTTATATCTAATAAAGTTAAATTTAAGAAATGACTAGAATACCAACTATGTACACTCATATTTATTCTGTATATCTTAAAACATTTTTTTTCATAATACACACACACATACACACACACAAACATACACACATGCGCTCTTTGGGTAATCCCTAAGCATCTATAGGTTGCAGAAGGCAAATTAAAGGAGAACAAGTGATTAATGAGTTTAGCATATCCATCAAGTCTTTCTGTCTCCTGACCTTACAAAGTCCCTCCAAAAGCAAACAAGCAAATTGGGAAACTCTAATCTGAAACTGAGAAAAACCCCAAACATTTTATAAATATTTTAACATAAATAAATATTTTAATATACTCTGCTGCTCAATTTATAGCAATAGCATGGAGAAACAAAAGGAAGAGAAGAATGCAAATTTCACAGAGCAGAAATAAAGGTCTGAAATACTAAGTGGAAAGACAGAAAACTGTGCCTAGCTGAGATGGGATGAATTAGATAATGACAGATATTTATACAATTTTATTTCCAATTAAGTATAATAGTGACATATTACAAAATGTGCCCCCCAAACAGCAGGCTTTTTTCAGAGCACCAGGTGGTAAGGTACATCTCATATTTGATTAGATCTCCAAGCCCCATCTCACTGTAGTCTAAGTTTTGCTGTGTGAAGAACTAGATGAGATAAGACAATACAATTTGTGGGTGTTAAATCTGTAACAACAGCCAGGCTACATTTCACAAGATTCGAGCTCTGCTTTCAACACCTTAGGAGACCGGCGCTATTTCCCCTTTCTTCCCTTTCCTTCTGCCTCTTCCTCCCTGCACAGTCTTGGCTCTTGTTCCTATTCAGTGTCACTCCCTGAGAATTCAATTCTTCCAATTTTCTAACCAAAGCGACTCCTTTTCATCTCCACCTAAGTTCTCCTCTTCCATCACACCTGGAGAAAAGGACTTTAAATCTAACGGAAACACGAACGGATGAATATTAATGTTAAACCTCTTTAAATTCAAACCAAGATGCCCCTTTCGGTGGAATAAGATAGTTAATAAAATAACCTTCTCTAACCCTATTATAATCCTCCAGGCATCTAATAGAATGAATTTACCTTAATGTGTTCATAAAAGGTCTAGGAGTCCCAAAAACACTTTTTTCAACTTTATCAGAAAGAGAAAATGCCCGATTGTTCGGCTTAGGCATGACAGATCACCTATATATGTATAAAGATAAATGTAGGTAAATACACATATGCCTTTAATCAGAATTTAAAAAAAAATAAACTTAGAGGTTAAAGAGAGAGAAAGTTCATGGAATGAGGGTAAGGGATCCTCTGTCCGCCCTGCTTTCACGCCGTTCCTTTAGACCTAGCATTGCTGGGATACCAGTGCAGCGCCTTCTCCTACAGTGGAGACTGAACCCATGCAAGTCACGAGGACACACACTACTCCACCACTGCTGCTTCATCTTTCCGGTCTAGCGTCCCGTGCCCAGGAGTGAAAGGAATTTCTGTAAGGTTCTGAGCGTCACGCGTCGCATACACAATCCCAAACCGAAACCCCCAACCTTCTAGCCAAAGGAGGTAGGCTTTTTCATGTTTTCATGGTGGAGCTGACCATTCCTAATGACCCTGATCTGGATCTGAGATGCTGCTCCCGCCCCTCCGGGAGAAATGCGCGCTTGGGCTCAGACCCCAGCTCCATCCCGGTGTGGGAGAGGAGCGAGCTGGGCTGGAGGGAACCCAGGGACAGAGGGTTCAGGTCCAAGAGGTGGGCGGGCAGAGGGGCTGAGCACTGCTCTGGGAGCATGGAGAGCGACACAGGTGTTGCTCCCCTGTCGGCCCTACTCTCCCAGAGAATAGCAGGGACAGTATTCTGGGTCCGGAGCACAGGATTGGAGGTAGGGAGGGGGGCTGGGAACTCCCGGATCCCGTGCTGTGCTGTGCTGGCCAAAGCAGGTCATTTCCCTCCCTAAGACATGCCCAGGTGGGTTCTAGCAGCAACTTCCTAGCAGCGACACGACACTCCCCCCACCCCTCCTCCCGCGGCATCCCACCTCCTCGCCTTCTTCCACCTTGGCTTGAGTGTGACAAATAACTCTCCGAAGAAGAAGGGCACCCAACAGTGTGGGGCGCCTTCTGTCCTTCGCTATACCCCTCCCACGAGAAATAAAAGCTCCTGCCACCCACCCAGAATAGCAGCTGGTGATGCCCTAAATAACAGCTCCCAGCAGGCACTTTCCCCAAAAATAAAAGCACTCAGCCACCCCCACAACGTTTTCCCATCACTGGCCTCAAATAACGGTTTCTAAAAGCCCCACTGCTCCCGAGATCCCTGTTGCTGAGCTTCAAACAGTTCCCACTCCCTCAAGCCCGGTATGTCACTTCCCCACGCGCCTTAAGTGAGCCCCAGCCGCACCCATCCCCCTGGCGCGGACCTCGGACCTCCTTTCCCCCCAAGGTTTTCCACCTTCCCAGCCCCCCAACCAGTCTCTGTCCACATGCTTGATCCTTGCCCAGCACTCCGCAGCTAATGTCAAACAATGCTATCAAAAACCGCAGAGGGAAGCGAAAGGCCAGTGGATGAGGACGACAAATATTAATTTGAGATGAGAGTGCGATTTAGTCCACAGGAGCAGCGTCCAGCGCTCCGGGACCCGCACTCCCCAGGCCCCGCCTAGCCCCTCCGCCCCAGGTCGCCGCGGTCCCCACCCCCATCTCCCTACCTTCGTTGCTGGGGCTGGCCAGGAGGGTCCGGAGTGCGGCGCAAAGAAGAAGGCACGTCCAGAGGGGAGCCCGGCGAGGTGCAGGGTAGCAGCCGGCCAGGGAAGCTGAGGTGCTGGGGGTGTCGCCGCTGCCGCCCGGGGGCCGCCGGCGTCCCGCACCCCGGGGCCCCGAGCCCCGCATTTTCTCCGTGCCTCCTCAGCTGCCGCTGTCCCGCGCGGCTCAGTCCACCGCTTCGGCCTCGCGGAGCGGCCGAGGGAGACTCGGGAGTCCTCTGGTCCCCCGGTGGGGTCCTACGCCTTCTGGCACGCGGCTCCTCCAAATGCGGGAACCACGGATCCGCTGAGCCAGCTGAAGTTTGCTTCTGGCTCCTGTCGCCTTCCCCTTTGGTGGGGTTAAATGAATTAGTTCTGGTTGCTAGCGCAGTTCTGGACTCGGATCAAGGGTTGTCGAGAGGGTCCCGCGTCCTGTTCCTCTGCCTTGTAAAAAGACTTTTTAAGAATTGAGAATTTTTAGATGCCACTAGGGGAAAGGTGAAGCTTCTCTGCAGTCTTCAGTGTTGAAATGGACGAAGGTAAGGAAGACAAATCATTTTATGACGAAATCCCCGATTTAAAAAAAAAAAAAAAGGAAAAAAGCAGGGTGGCTAAGGATAAAGAATGAAGAGTTGAGAAAATGTGGGGAGTGAAAAACAGGAGAGCAGCGAGCAAAGGCAAAGATCCAGAGTTCAAAGAGGCTGGCAGAAGGAAATCGCTGCGGGCTGAGCGCTGACGAGGGGAGGGACTGACGGCGGCCGGCAGGCAGGAGCGCGGAGCCGGGCTGCGGCGGCCCGGGAGCTGCTGCGGTTCCCGCTGCTCGGGGAGGAGGCGGTGTGTGAGCGGCTGCGAGGGCGAGGTTGAAACTGCACCGCCAAGGCGCGCTCCTGCTGTGTCTGGAGCCCCTGCGTCGCCTCTGCTTCCCCGCTCAGCGCCTCCCACCCTTCTTCCCTCCTCCTCTTCCCGGCTCCCCCGCCCTCCGCTGCTCGCAGCCTCGCCAGTGAGAATCTACTGTAAGTGTGAGTTGCTTCGGCGAAGTCACACACCCACGAAGGGAAGTAATCTGAAGGCTGCCGTGATGAGTGTTGCCTAGTGGTCTCCGGGAAAGGCGCGTCTTCCTCCCGGGATAATTAGGGCGAAGAATCCTCCTGACAACGCTGGCGAGGACTGGTGCTCTCGGGAGGCGGAAGCGAGATCAACCCCAGCTCAACTGGCGGCCCTTAGAGATACCGGTCCCTCCGTCTGGCATTTTTCCTGCTGCCCCTCACAGGCTTGTGGCATCAACAACCTTGTCGTCACATCGCCGCGCATTCGCAGGCTCTGTTGGTCCGTGGCTAGTTTCTTAAACACCCATACCGCTTACCGCTGCTGACCCTTTCTGTTCTTCCCAGACTTTGATGGCTGGAATGGGATAATTACTCAACGTTTTCTTCAGAAGTAAATCGTTGTGTAAACAGAGAGGCGGTAGCTCTGTTGGAGATTTCAAGGAGTCAAATAATTTCACTATTGAGATTTGTAGTGTGCCAGGTACTTTCAGAGGTGGTAATTTATTTCATTGATAGAAGGTTTCAGTATTTTAGAAATTATACGTTATGCAGATATATGTAATTCATTCCAGTGAAATTAGCATCCGTCAAATAAATTCATGGCTTTACGAATTTAATTATTTTAATTGATTGTGCCCTTTTGCATTGAGAGATTTACAAACAATGAGAAAAAGCCAGTTAAGATAATTAACTTTCTATGCTTCACCTCTATTAGGTCTTTTCTTGCTTTAGTGTATTCCCTCGATTTACTCATTCTTTCGAAGGGATGCATTTGAAGGACAGTTTTACTGTACAGACATTAAATAACAAAAGGCTGCAGAGAAAGCAACTACAAAAAGGTCTGATTTTAGAAGAAAGGTATCTCATTTAATTTCATGTATAGTAACCACTGTAAAGCTTGGGCTTCTGCTCACACCTAATAAAGGTGAGTCAGCTCACGAGTTTTGACATTTGTAGAGCCTTGTTTATCTTCACAATAAATTCCTCACAATCTTTAGCTGATTACTTTTTCTTTGTTTAAATATTTGCAATAAAGATGAAAGAATAAAGCAGTAGTGATGCAATTTTATAAAGAGGTGAACGCTCATTTATAATTTCTTTTTTTCCTGAAATGTTTTGGCCCCAGAAGTCTGAAAGCAAGTTCTTTCTATTATAATGTGCTCCAAATGGATGAAGCAAATTTAGAGGAATAGCAGTGAATCAGTCTCTCAGTTTGGCAAAAAGCCTCACAGTGAGATAGAAAGTTAAAATTTATGTTTCTATTTGAGGACCATTCAAAATGTAAGCTCCCTTCCCCTCTACATTCATAAAAGAGTTACTTAAAAATATTTAAGCAAAATATCAACTAAGATATCTAAAGCCCAGAAATATGTAATAAAATTAATATGAGTTTAGTCGGGCTTTGAGCTAGTTCCATTACTTCTCCAGACCTCAGTGTCTTCATCAGCAAAATGAGGAACTTGGAGAAGACAACCTTCAAGCTCCCTTCCCTCCCATATTGGTTGCATGTCTATGTGACTACCTTGGTCATCTACCATCTTCAGTTATTTACTATTGATCACAAAATAACCACATTTTTTAAAGCCTAGAATTTAAAGGCTTCTACCACAAATAGTTTAATTTTTATTTTATACTACAGCGTTAAACTCAATTTTCTCCTAAATTACCTCATACCTCTCTGATTTTTCTGCCTGTCATTCTGTTCCAAGGAAATCCTACCTCTGGAAATATTTACTCCTGACCACCCCCTCCACGAACAACACACTCACACACACAGGTATTGCTGTTATCTAAATTGTACCCAGTGTTCTAGGAAAGCCAGGCACTCAAGTCTAATTTTTTTCTTTTCCCAACAAAAAAAGTGACATTGTTCTCCACCTTAAAGTAGTCATAGCTTTGTATAAATCAACACAATGCCAATATTTTCTGAGTCAAAGCTGGAATAAAATTGTCTAACTATATCTAAAGAGAAGAAAGACAGAATCTAAATCTGGTATGTCAGAGAAAACGTGGGATGCTGGTCAGTGTGGTCATTATTGTGTGATCTTCTCCCAACATTGCTGAGTTACACAATTGAGAATACAGAATGCAAAATCCTTTGTTTTCTCCACCTTGAATTGCAGTCGACTTTCTCATAGTTGTTTAATAATACTGACTACATATCTCTGAAAAAAAATGAAAGCTGTTAAGCTCATTGAAGCTGTAAAGTTCATAAAGTTCTTTAGACAGAAATGAAAATCAATTTTTGATCTAAGGAGGGTTAATCAGAAAAGATAACGATGGTGGTTTGAGTTGGACTTAAATCTCTCAAAGGAGATATACATTTGGCCAGGTGTTGATGTCTTGGCATGTTAATACTTTTTTAACGTAATTACACTGAACCATGGCATTGCATGAAAACTAGATTTGGTTTATTGTTTTCTTTCATATTTATTGCTTTGCATAACAAAAGATCATGCCATCATTGGTTTCAGTGCCGTGTGGTTTGCATTTCTCATTGTTTGGAATAGCTACTATGACCTTAAAAGATGGAAGTGGTTAGTTAGGGTCTCCCAAGATCTCTGCTTTTGTGTGACTTCAATACTGAGTTTTCTTGAAGGAAGGATATTCAAAGTAAACTTGATAAGTTTCCTTTAAAGTTTACTACCTCCATAAAAACTTTTAATATTATAGTTAAGTTCAGTGTATCAATAATCTTCCCTGCTTTCAAAGATTTAAGAAAAGCAGTCTTTACAGAAAGACTTGCTAGTATTTCCTGAAGATTTGCTATGTGTAAAGC